GAAGACGAAGAAGTGGCATTTATCGGGCAGAGAAGCGGCGAGCCATTAAAATGGCGGCAATTTGACGAAATATCGAAGGACACAATATCGAAGATAAAATACACTGCACTGTCTCACAACTTGATGAAACTTGGTTGAAATATTCTTTAGCCATTTATGATTATGTAAAAGTACAACAACTGGATGATATTTGCGAGACTCGGCAATAAAAGCAAACAAGACGGCAAAATATGGCTGAAATCGTGTTTTCGTGGGGGGTAAGCGAAATAAAATGTATTATATTTAAAGAAAACAATGACAATCCTTATGAAAACTACAATAATTATATTAAATTAAGCATAGCTTTTCATCCCATGATAATTTTTTTAGGAAATAAAGAAATTTAATTTCTACCAGGTATATTAGTTACTTTATGCATAACTAGCAATTGACCTGGGGTGATGAATGATATTTTCTTGTAAAATATTATAATTACACAAATTTTTCCTTCCAATAACCACCCCTAAAAGCAACCCTTCTAAACACAATAAGCACTTCAGAAAGGCTATCGCTTTTGCTTTTCGGAAGTTAGAGCTATGTCGGCACTGCCGTTTCAGGGCGGGGTCATTTTCCGGACTTTCGTTGGCCAGAATAATCACACCTCCTCCCCCCCCCCCGCCCCCCTCAAATCACACCCCGGTCAAAAAATTCACTGGTAGATTGCTGCAAGTGAGAAAAGTCCTTTCCAGCGTACTTCCGAACATCAAAAAAAGAATGAAAATAACTTTGGGAAAGTTTAGCAACACCTAAGCACATAACGATGTGGCACAACATCTGCCGCCAAATGCCAAAGAAAATACTCCTGTTTGTGAGACGAGCCTTGATGTATTCCCTGCCAAATAATCAGAGGCGCCGGAGCCACGGGGACAGCCGTTGCCGAAACAGTGCGGGAGCGGCACGGGGGCAACAGGCTGCCCTTTTTCACCAGAACTGCGCTTCGAAATTTGTGCGTTATTTACATCGGAATTGGAAGTTATAAGTATTTTTAGGCCATGTTTAAGCAATATTTGCTTATTTTAAGCAGTTATAGTCAAATTAATGCCAGAGGCCGCGGAATCACTTTTGTATAATTATGACTCAAAATCAAACGATTTTATGTTGTTCACGAGCCGAACGAAAATGTTTTGTAAATGTGGATTCCCTATAACGTCGGAAATGGCCCTTACAGAGTCTTCACTATCGCAAAAAGGGCACTTTCTTCCTAGCCCCCCAAAAGGACATTTTTCACTTTTAAAAAGTGTAGAGGCACATGCCCCCATTGTCCCCAGGTTCCGCGGCCCCTGATTAGTTGTAAATCGGAGAATATACGTCTGTTTACCGATTTTATTTTGCGCCCTTGATAACTTGGTGCAACAAATACAATTGCTCAAAATTAATGTCGAAGTTTGCCGACCCACAATAGACACAAGTAATCGGCTATCCATACAATAAAGTTTTAACAAATATTGTCGTCCAGAAAAATGATGGCGGAGAAGCAAGTGGCCTTTTGAAAAGGTGGCCTCGCCGCTTCATATTGCTTCCGGTGCCCCGGCAAATAATTCAAATCTATGTCGATTAGGGAAAAGAGATAACCCGTCTTGTGTATTGTGCTACTCAAACAAACAAACACAACTCCACATGCGTTCTGCCTGCCCGGTTTCTGCAGCTGAATGTCGATACACTTGGCGACATGATTCAATTATTTACACTTTGCTTTACTATATATCTCAAGTAAGGAAATACGGATTTCGAATCTATGCTAATCTGGACAATTTGGACAATCCTAGCGAACTCTTCTATTCATTCCGTCCAGACATTATGCTAATAAAAGATGACAGAATTTTCATTTTGGAATTGATGTGCTGCTTTGAAAAGTGCAGGAACCTAAAGATCAACAAATATAGGGATATTCAAAATGATTGCAAGAAAAGGTTTCGGCACTGGAGAAAGGGCCAGGAAGATTTTCGTTCAATTTACGACACTTTGACTAATAGTGCGCCTCATTTTTTATATAGGTACATCGTAACAATCAATGGACATCTCCGCCTATTTTAAAGTTCTATTAAACCTAAGTATGTACTATAAAAGCGATGTCTGTAATCTCTGTGGATATCTGCAATCTCTGCCCTATGTTTACATTGGAGAGAAACACATGAGTTGGTTTTATCAGTTTATATCTACTATTAAATTTATATGTATTGTAGTGCCTTAAGGAAGCATTTTGTGACCCTCGCTGTTTAGCATATATGTCAATGATGTACCTTCAATAACTAGTAAGTGCCCTACTGAAAGTTTGCTATAATTGATGAACTTTAAGTTAGACCCACGCCCGCGATAAGTGATGAACTTTAAGACCTGGGCAAACTAGGAAACATTGTTGCGGAAACATTGTTTCCTACCAATATTTCGCCATGTTTCCCAGAGTGGACAAACACTAGGAAACATTAGTGAGAAACATAGGGAAACATGAAATGTTTCTGAATTTGGTAGGAAATATTTTTGCTTCCCGGGAAGGAAATTTTGTTTCTGCAACAATGTTTCCGCGGGTGGGCAAACATGGAAACATTTCAGGAAACATCGAGAAACACAAACTTTTTCGCAACAATGTTTCCTAGTTTGCCCAGGGCTTTAGACTTTGCTAATGCTTTCGTTTCCCCGTGTTTAAATAGCCGGGGGTAAATATTTAGTACCCTCGCACGGCGCTTCGCGCCATCGGCTCGGGGAAAATTGCAGTTTGTGAGAAAACTGCAGGTCAACGGAACGGGCACTTTTCGGATTTGAACTCAGCGTGTTCGAAAGTGTTAGTTCCCGTAAAAATACTTCAGTTCCAAGATGAGTGAAATGAAAATCACTTTCCAGGCACTTTTTGAGGTTACAGGATACAGCCTAACACATCATAAAGGTCTTCAGTCCTCAAATCAATATAACTTACCCTACTCTCGGATCCACTGCTATATCGAGGGGCCATTGCCTTGTTTCTGTCACCTCTCTTTTTTTTTTATTATCTAAATACATTACGAAAAAACGCCCATCTACCCTAGATCTCCAGAAAAGTCTACGTGTTATCCAGTCAAATTCCATTTTCCAAATATCAACATTTTCCAAAAAAACTTCAACACCGGTGCCATCAAGGTTTGCTCTGGATATGCTGCTGCCGTTTCTGAAGTATATTTTCATTTCCGCTTTGTCAGTTGCCATCCCGTAATTCTCTTTAAGTCCAGGAATAACGACAGTTTTACCATGAGTTAGCAAATCGATTGCGTCGATTCCAGAATCTTCACCGATAAACAGATATGGTTCCGGGTATGGCCCTGATGAAAAGAACAGTCATCAAAAGAGAATACGTTTCTAAATTTGTATCAGTCGTAAAGAGAATACGTTTCTAAATTTGTATCAGTAACACATAATCCTACATATCACTCAGTGCACTGGGATATCATCCAGTATAGCTTGCGATATCATGTTGTATCGTAGGATTACCATGCATACAGCATCTTAGGATATCAGCCAGCATCTTAGGATATCACATTGTGTTTTACGATACTACTGAATATCATAGACTATCTTAGAGTCGCCTACTGCATCTTGGAAAATCATGACAGAAAACTGACATTTGAACTAATATTATTCTTCTGGCGTAACATTCAATTTTTAAAGTAGATCTGACAGCCAACATACAGTTTCAATCCTAGGTATCATTAAAGTTGTGACACCAATATTCAGACCAGTGCCGTCGAGAGGAACTCACCTCAGGGGTGGGGGTTGCTAAAATCTACCTGAAAGTATCAAAATTTCGAATTTTACCTGAAAATTTTTTTGGGAAAAATTATTTTTGGCAACCTCCTCCCCCCCCTCCGTCGCCAAAATAAAATTTCGGTCAGTGTAATATTTTAGGGCTAAAAAAATTTTTCCGGATATACCAAAATTTTTCCCAACATGGAAAAAAATTTTCCAGACATCAAAAATTTTCTCCGTATCAAATAAATTTTTCTAAAATTACGAAAACTTCTAGAATTTTCTAAAATTTGGGTAAATATACCTCATTTTTTCCAAATTGACAGTTATTTTTTGTAAATTAACTTTCTCTTGTCATAGGAATTACCTGAATTTGCGTTAATTTACCTCAATTTCTTCTGCAAATCTACCTAAATTTACCTGAAATTGCTCATATGAGCAATTATCAGGGGGGTGTTACACCTCCCACATCCTCCCGGTCATCCTCCTTGATTCGGACTTGCCGAAATTATGGAAGTTAGTATATCGATTGTGTCCATGAGAAAAATCATAGGGACGTTTTTCTGAGACCCCCCCCCCCCTCTTAGAAACGTAACACATAGTTATCGATATTTTGTTCTTACAGTACACATAACTTCATTATGTAATTTTCTTCTACTTTCAACGGTCGGCTATTGGCGATGCTGCCGCGAGAATATATCATCTTCTGCAGACTTTTTGTGTTAATATATGAACATTAAAATTTCCAACGTTTCTTGAAACAACTTTTTTGCATGAAATATTGACAATTTTAGCGCGTTTTTCTTGAAGTCGAGTGTTTTCAAGGAAGGCGTATAATGTAAATGTATAGAACTGGTATGTCATGTATGGTATTATGAATGTATACATAGGTGTTTGCATCAAGTTGCTTTCTTTTTTATATTCTGGAAAAACGATTCCGATATGTTAAGGCTTTCAAAAATACTATCGATTTCTTCCATAATGTTTTACAGAGAAACGTCACAGCTGCAAACTCCCCACCCCCAAAATCCAGGAAAAAAATAGAACTATGTCGTAAATTCACTTTTATTGGCAAATATTATGAAAAACAGAAAGGTTTGGGCGGTCCCCCTGTTTAGGTTTCTGACTCTCTGCCTCTTATTAACTTTTTATAAGAAGGGCCGTAACTAGACGAGATATTTGGGTAGGGGGAGGCTGCATATTCACAAATAAATTAGTTGGGCTGAACACAAATATATATTAAAATATTCGTGGTCAGCCCTAGTAATTTCTTTTTGTTTTTACGATATGTGATTGTTTTTCCGTTATGTGAACATGAATATATGAATATGCACCCCCTCCCCCGCCACCACCCCAACATTCGCGTCTAATTACGATCCTCGGACCCTGTTTATAAGGCCTGATTAACTATAACTTGCTTTAATTAAAAGAACCTTTATGAAGTATTAAAATATTTTAGCTTAATTTCCATAATTTGAACAAATCCGAATATTGGTGATTCCATTTTAAGTGATACTAGAAAGCCAACAATATAATTGGTCATTTTGATAAGTCAACAGAAATTGCGATTTTGAGGTGAGTATACGAAGTAATACTGGAAAATGTAGTCAAGGCGGTTGTTATTGTATGTGCTTTGTGCAGCCCTGCAAGAAACGTGCGCAAAAGTTTACCCTAACCCCATGCATACCCTAATCCTATCCTATCCTATTGCACAATTCTTGCATACATGCCTGAATCCTATTTTGGTTTTACCGCCTTCCTGTGGTTTTTCTGGTGTTCAATCAGGGCCGTAGCTAGCATTTATAGTTGGGGGGGGGGGGTAGGCCAAAAATTTCCGAATGACGAAGAAAATTTCCGAATATTTCATGGCATACGAAGCCACGAAGGTGTTTTCTATCCGGAAAATGAAGATGCAATTTACCAACAAAAACACACATAGTTTATGCAAAGACATATTACAGAAACATGCAGTGCTTTAGGAAGCTCTTTTTTATTGGGGGTGGGAACGAGGGCCGAAGGCCCAAGGAAATTTTTAAATTTAGATTCTCTGAAATGCCATTTCCTGGACTTTGGGGAAGTTTTGACGGAATTCTGATGGTCAGAAAACGGAGTTTTAGTATGATATTTGTGACGTTACTCTGAGTATGCATCCACAGCTGGCAAGCTGGAAAGTTTGCTTGATCACGGTGGGAGTCGAATTTGCGACCTTTGGGATACTAGTCCAATGTTCTGCTAACTGAGCTACGTGGTCAAGTCGGTTCGAATTGTTAATAGATCGAGTTTTAGTATGTCGAAATTTACAATTTGCTTACAATTTAGTATAGAACTAAATGGGCGAAGGCGTATTTAATTAACTATATATTGCAGGAAATAGTATAGGAAAATGATTCCTTTCGGTTTGTCATGGATAATGTAGCCGCTTAATAAAATTAATCAATAGACCTTTCCCCTTATGAGTGAAATTTTGATCTAGACAAGCCTAAACAAAACTTGAATGAGAAATTTATTTTATTAAAGAATTCTTCGGATCGGATCGGAATGGAATTCGTTTTCAAAAGTCGGATTGAATTCGGATTAGACAATTTCGGATCGGATTTTAAACATTAGGCAATTATTGGATTATAAACGTCTAATCCGATCCGATGCACACCTCTAGTCTATTGTCAGTATTTTAAAGGTATATTATTTAAATGATAAAGGTGTGCATGATTTTGAAAAAGAATTATTATCAGCAAATTATTGTAAGGGCTGCTGCCCCAAGTCCTCCCCCCCCTCTCCGACTGCTACGGCCCTGAGAAGTAATATATAAACCGAAAAACATTTACCGATTTACGATTTGTTTTACGTTATCCATGTAAATGCCGTGATTTGGTATATCAGTTTATACCAATGGTTTATATTGACAATACCATTTTATAATATTTTCTCTGTTTAAACAACTAAAATTTTGTTATACTGTTATTGCCGTAATTTTCCGAATGGCCAACCCGATTTTCCGAATATGTTAATTCTACAAAAGTTGGGGGGGAGGGGTTAACCACCCCCCCCCCCCAATACCAACCCTCGCTACGGCTCTGTGTTCAATGTCAAAGTTACACATTTAGTACAAGCTAGCTTACGTAAAATGGGTACTTCTCTGAGATTACCCTGTATATTTACAAGAATTCCATCTCTTAAATTCATTATTTGGGGCAAAGTTTTAATTCTTAATATATACGATGACCAACAATAAATTTTGAAATGTATTTGCAGAGTGCATATATTGATTCAAATACATTTACGTAATATATAAAAACCAGATAACGGACATTCAGAATAGAAGTGAAAAGTATCATAATTCCTATAAATATGAAATATTTTTGATAAATAATAAATGTAAAAAACCACTTCTAAAACATATTCTATTGAATAGTTTACCAGTCTAGTAAAGACGGAGGAAAGAAATGCGAGAATGTTCAATGACGATACGCTGCCATAAAAATAGTGGACCACTTTGAAGTACGCAAGAACAACATATTCTAAACCCATAGTGTATGTATCTACATCGTAGTAAGCGGTTGTGTAGTTTTGTGGGGATAAATAAAAACCTTTCATGTGGATAAATATTTAGACTTAATTTAAGAGTTATTTATTAAATTAAATATGTTTTTCCAATGGAAAAAGTGACTTAGATGCATGCAAAGCTATGTGAACTGCTAAACTTTTATTTTCTCTCATGCTTATAAATCTGTTTTAGCCTTTCATATAAACATTTTAGCCTGAACGTTGCCTTTCAAAATTAAATGCAGATGCCTTCCTCCCTACTCGAGTAATGAATGAAGGAGGATTAAAAACCTCCAGGACACTTCAATCATTTGTATAATAGAATACTGCATTTACTGTACCTTTATAAAAGCACAATTTTGTTTGCATTTCCATTCTCTGCTGATTCCGTTCGTTCTCTGCTGCACAGCATGAAGAATTAGGCACATGAACTGTACCATTCCAGCATCTTTTCTGCCAGTATTTCACGTCAATCTTTAGTTCTTCCAAGCGCTTATCACAGAACGGAATATCTTCATTACAAGTGACCAAACTTCCGCCAAAATATATCATGATAAGAAAACCGACAACGACTTTTGTTGCAACAGAAATCATTCTTCTTATCTCCTGGTAATTGACTCGTTCGAACGTGAACGCCATCTGTATAAAAACAGTTAGAAGTTGTTATAAAGTATTAATTTTCACGTCGCATTGACTCATGCTCACATATGTTAAGACACGGGGAAATTCTGATCACAAGTCAGCTGGAACATCTTCGCACAACAACCTGTGACACAGAAGGTTTTTCCAAGGATAAGTGATCCGTCGTCCATCCAACTAAAACCAAGTTAATTATTCAACATATGATGGCGAGTCTTAACTCTTTACAATGATTTGCTGTTGCTTTGGTCATTAATGAAAAACTAGTTTCATATTATTCTGACACTGCATGCAGAGAGTAACAAAATATTGTTTTTTGTCTCGAACCGGACCCGAACTCGCATCTTCGGGTATCCAGACTGCCTCTCTGCCCTTGAATTGAGCAATCCAGTCAGCGGGATTGATGGCATGATTTATCTTTTTCGTTGTTCTCTGCCGTTTCAGACAATGCCGCCAAGAGAGGGGGGTTGCCCCGGCCTCCACCTTAACAGGGGCCCCATCTGGAGAGCGAGTGCCTAAAATTGAGTAGGTTCTTCAGGAGCATTTTTGAAATTGAGGGCCCTTTACACTACCTCCACTGCAGTCTAGCTAAGGCCTAGTCCGGTTTAGCTTAAAAATAATGATGTCATGCGCCCCCAGGCTTGGGGAAGATTTGCCCCGGGCCCCGCAAATTCTCTCGGTGGCTCTGGTCTCAGAATAATATGAAACTAGTTTAATATCTCTGAGGATGGTTCTGAAATAGAATGCACGATCAATAATCAGCTGATTTATCAAGTTTGCGCGCTAATTCACAGGTGCTTTGCAGTTTCAAATCAACCTGGTTTTCAAGGGGGGGCCTTGCGAAAGTTCTGGCAAAGCCTGAAACCGGAAAGAGATTTGACTAGCCGTTAACAATATAACGCATAGAAAATTAATAATTAATTGGGTTTAATTATATGGCTTTTCAAAATTCTCTATTCTGATTGGTTGACAAGCGGTCCGTAAAAACCCATATCCGGACCGTGGTCCGTATTTTCCGTATCTTTAATCTTTCTAGCATTTCACATTATATCTGGACCGGTATCCCGGATGTCGTTTATCTGGCGGGAAATTTTTGCTTTGCAAACAGAAAACATTTTTGCTTTTTAATTTTCCAATTGTATGTCATTAAAATTTACAGATAAAAATTTCAAACAACCAAATTGTTTTTGATTGAGCATGCGCCTAACGTATATTGTTACCCAGTGAAATTGACGATGGCCGATTTAATTCGCGCGAAAAGCATATTCTCACACACTCAGTTCAGCCATATAATAAACCGATTATTGACCTCGCTTGTTCGGTCTGTACTGTGAAATATCAGACCTCTGTTTTTGCATGGATCCGTACTAAGAAACCTCAGTCTGATATTTCACAGTACAGACCTCACGCTCGGTCAATAAGCCGTTATTATTACATGGCAAGAATCGCTTCCGGTGAAATGGCGGACTGTGATTGGCATAGGCGCAATTTCAGCGGTCCATTATTTTGCCGTAATGGACCCGGCGGTCATAACGTAAAAACAAGCGCATGAATTTTAAAACAAAACGGCAAAACTAATAGAAAATTTGAAAATTATAATTCAGCTTGTTATTATAATTCAGCTTGTTATTATAATTCAGCTTGTTGTACAAGAAAGACCTCGGTCCGATATTTCTCTGTAAAGACCTCGCGCTCGGTTAAATAGAAGTTAATATTCTGGCATTATGGCTGCCTTGAAAGAGTACGTACGAAGTATTATCCCATACCTGTGTTAAAAGCGGCTTTCTGATTGGTTTAGAGCAGGTGAGCTTGTCGTCGAGCTCACCTGCTTTTCGCCCGAACTCACCACTGAGCTATACTATATTACTGGAGGACCTGCACGGGAAAAAAAAGTGAAGCCAAAACATGACGGATTTCGGCCTTTGCTGACGCCATTTCCATGACAACTGGTCCGTATTTCTCATGGTAATTACCACTGACCAGGCTCGGATCTGAGCCCGCTACAATCCCCCCCCCCTGGTTTTCTTTAAAAAACTTTAGGTTTTTGCAATTTTGCTCAGGTTTTGTAGTATGTTCTCGATATTTGACTCGAATTTGAAATTGTTTTCGAGATATTTTTTCTAAATTCGGTTATTGGTTCAAAGATGTGCAAGTCGTACGTGTTATTCTTCCCGGGAAAGGCAACAAAATTCAAACCTCGCTGTCCTCGGAAAATATGAGCAAAGCCAAAGAGGATATTTGAATCAGCGAGCTATAAACAGGTATTTGACCGTATTTCATTCAATATTTTGTTTATGCTTTATCTTATCTCACATAAAATTGGTAGGCTTTTTACTTAAGCTTTTGACGATGAAATTCCCTTTTTTTAGTCTTAAGAAAACAGCCTTTTGCTGGTTTTTTGGTGTAATTTGGCATCTGTATATTTCAAAATTTGGTTGCAGAAACTACAACATTTTGTTATTTATAAATTACTTTAGAAAATGCTATTAACTCCAGACGTTCCTTCAAAGCAAACGGTATGTCACGTATGTGTTTAAATATATTCAGGTTTTGTGTAATATGTGCCAACTTTGCATACAAGGCTAATCAATGTCAATGACAAGACTTTTGGAGTACTCAAATATTTCCCAAAATACCTGTATATATAACTTATATATACCCCCCCCCCCCAAGAAAATGTTTCTGTGTGATGAAAAGATATTACACTGGCCATTTACAACATGTTGGGAGCTGCAGTACACCCTGTTTATTTTATTTTTACTTGTCTAGCGCCAGACGATTTTACTCATCAATGGGGAAGCTCTACAGCTTAATGGATTTAACAATTTGGAACACCAGGCATACTGGATGGCAATCTGGCAATTATTTTGTAACTACTGTATGTTGCTTCCCTTGCACTGGGAAGGTACCTTGTATCCTGGTTACTTTTGATTATTATACTATTAACCCACTAAGCTTCCCATTGATGAGTTAAATCATCCGGCGTTAAACAAGTTAAAAAAATAAGTAGGGCGCACTGCAGCTCAATGTGTTAACTAGAGGCATTGTCAGATTTTTTGGTTAACCATTAAGATGCAGAGCTTCCCCAATTGACAAGTAAAATCATCTGGTGTCAGACAAGTAAAAAAAAGTGGGGCACGCTTGGGCGCATTGCGGTCAATGGGTTAAGCCTGATAATTGCACCAATGGTTCTGGTGTCTCTGAGTCGCATTGAGTCGCATTGTTTTGTTTTTCCCATCATCATTTTTGAGCTCAAAGTTACAACATATAATATATTTTTGTTTATTCCAGAACTATCTCACAATTGGGATATCATAATCTGGCATTTGTCCTCACTCACTCTGGTTTCCCAGTTAACCAATAGAATGGCTCTCCCATTGACAAGTAAAAGTAGGGCAGGCAATATACAGTACAAGCAAGATGTATGGAAATTGAAGACACAAAGCTGGATTAATTTTGAACTATTTTGATTGGACTTTTCAATACAGTAAAATTATTAACAGTGAATAATTTTAAATTAACACTAAAATTATTGTAATTAAGTATACATGACGTAGTGGAGTATGTGTTAACTTAATTCAGGGGTGGGTTAATAGGGAGTGTGCACACCCCTGTTGGCCTTGGTCAACAGGGGTGCAATAAAATCAAATTCAGAAACATGGCATAATTTCCAAGTTTTTCCCTTTTTTGAAGTCAAACTGAAGCTCATAATTCAATGTCCATATCACAGGAAATAGCATTTCTACGGATCTAATTTTCAAAATGTTCTGGGGGCATATCCCTCAACCCCCTAGGGAGCTCGCGCCTTTAGTGCTTGAGTCGTTTCACTCCCACCACCCCCTAAAAAATTATAAAGAAACACTTGGCTGCTCACCCAGCACCCCCTTGAAAAACCTTGCTGGATCCACCCCTGAAGGCTTTCAAGTAATACTGTAATAGCAGGCAGCGCAGTACTTATCATATCATGCAAATAATTATCATATTTAATTGCACTGATCCCATATGTATGAACAAACACGAGCATGCAATGTATTGTAGTTGACAATGATTCTTTAATTAACTTAACAATAAAGGTTTATACTTTTATAAGTTAATTATCATCACCATCATAGACAGATTTTCATAGTTTGCTTGGGGAGTGTGGGTGTGCAGAAAAGTGAGCAAGGAGCATGTAGTGTGCTGAGTAAGATGCAGCAGAGTCTGAGGGTCGAGTCACTAGTGGAGACACAGTTGGGGTAAGGTTGGGGGCAATGACCCCAGGATATTTCGAGAATATTGGTCTTGTTTTTTAGCCTTATTTAGTTCAAAAATCTTGTTCAATTATACTGCTGTCATAATTTTAATCAAACCAGCATTTATTTAAATTTCTGTGGTTGAAAAACTTTCTGAAGTGGTGAAGATACTATTGGGGGTGCACCCCCCAGAAAATCCATCAATGATTGCCATCTGCATTTTAATGCCTTGTACATCCCATGTTTTGTGATATCTATTATAGCCAATAATTCCTGCAAGATAAAAGACCACAATCATATTACACCAATATTATTACACATTCTTCCACCTGAAAAACAGCATTTATTACCAAAAATTGTGAATGCATGCTTCTTTTCATCCACAAAACTGCATATCATAGTTTCTTTGTAACCAATTTCATGAAAGTCAAGGCAATCACAGATAAATTAAGATAACAACTTTTTCAAGAGAGAGGAAGGATCCACAGTTTAAGGTTTACTAATTAATAAAAATATTCTTGTTGTAGCTAGTTCTTTGTGTATTCCGCTCTGTCGTGGAAATACATGTACATGTAAAGTTTGAACATTGAGTCATATTCCAGAAAAATCCACACTCCAACTATATGTGGAGGAAATTTATGCTGTCTGGAGGGGACGATTAGAATCTATACTCCTGAGAAAAGCAAAATACACTATAAATAGGACAGGGGCTTCCAACTTCACATTTCTTGTGTAGCGATGATGTGGATGTTTTCAGATAATTTTCAAAATCTTCTGGGTGAGTGTGCCCCTACAACCGCTAATAGGCTCATGCCTTCGGCAGCTCCCTCCAATTTCTTTATGACGCCATTGATTGTTCCCCCACTTCTGTTTTACTGGCTATGCCACTGATCACAATATTAAATTTAACAGTTTCTGGAGTCTCTTAACACTTGTCACTTGATTATATGACAAAATCTGATCAGTCAATTTATTGTATATGTGGGCCATTAACACTAACAGTCGTTAACAGTACACTACTATATGTTGATGTCATAACAAGTGAATCCAGTGTAGTGGCCCTGGCTATTTTGACCCCCTCTCTGGCCTTGCATGTGCTAATCGGCCAAATCCTGGTCTATATTTTAAGTGTATTTAAATGATTTTCACACCATAATCTGTGTAAGACACATTGCCAGGGATAAAACAAAACAGTAAATCTTATGACCACAAATTTTACAAGTTTTTTTATGTCCAATATTGAAATATTTGCAGTTCATTTGACATGATGAGTGAAGTCAAGTGAACAAGTGTTGAATTTTGACAAAATATTTTTATAATTTCGTTCTATCCGTCCCATAAATCTTACCTGTAAAAATAATTACTCGTCCTTTATGTAAAATAAATTGTTGCATCGGCAAACGGAACAAAACGCCACTCTAATTCCTTCCAAGTTGTAAAAAAACACCAGCAAAATACGAGCTCGAGAAAATATTATGTTTTTAACTAAAAACACTGCCAAAACCAGGGGGGTGAAAACGTCGTCTGAAGCTCAGGATCGCGGTTGGTCAGTGGCAATTCTGTGAGAATTACGGACCAGTTGTCATGGAAATGGCGTCAGCAAACGTCAAAATCCGCCATTTTTTTAGTCTGCGAACCCAGACGTCATTTCCGACGCTCATTCTTCGCTGGGGAATAACGTCTGCGGAAACGAGCGGGAATTCGATTTCCGTGACGTATGTCTATTTTCTGTGTTAGCCAATTAAAACGTCTGTTACAGCGAGAGCACGCTTGGAAGTGCGCGAACGCGTGTATAACGCGTGTAGGACCACACGAACGGAGCCGCGTTTTTTATTATAAAAATATAAATTAATATACTTGTAATTTTATTCTGAAAATATGGATGAAACTTCGAAAAAGTATACCCAGAATACAAAGTTCTACTGTGTCAATGACAATGTGTATTAAAGAAGACGCCTCTCAGTTGGAAAATATGATGTGTGTTTTGGAAAATATAATTGTTTTAGAAGTTATTTGAATATATTGAATATTTTCAACTTCAATACTGGGCGACGCCGAAGGGGTTGTCTATACGTGTGTCGACCATGAAAAAGTCGTATAGGATGTTATCAATAAAAATATGGTGAGGAAAATTACTATGATATATCATACTGGAGTTTCAAAGTGTTGTTCTCGGTCCAACAGCAAGACTATAAACTTCCACAGGTCGTTCGACAGATTGTGATTTGAACTAGTCTGCGAAGAATATAATTTTCTACGCAATTCATTTTATACATTAATAGCCGTGCGTTATTAAAATACTGTATGAATGAACGTGCATACATGGACAATGTCATGTAATCTTTGTATGTGTCAGTCCCATATATTCTGTTCCAATTGCAGTTCATTATTAAAAGTACAGCCGGCCAAAATAATGTATAAGACACTTTGTTTATGTCTATACCGGTCTGCAGCAAGATTATACGGCAACGATCAATATTAAATTGCATGCATTTATTGCATTGGGAACAGCCTGGTCGTGAACTTGTTGTAAAACCTGTCACAATAGCGAAACTATTCGCAAATATATACAGTTTAATTTAAACGTTTTGATTGTTCAAATTCACTTTAGTTAATACATGTACGTACATTAGCATGCAGTGTGTTTTCTAACTATGTAGTTTGTGTTTGCATTTACATATATACTGTACAGAGTGTGAAATTGACTTCAATTTAATGGTTAGTACTATATATAATAATATATTATAGCAGCAGTTTCATATTATATATAGTAGCAGTAGTACTATATATTATGAGTAGCACTTTAAATTTGTTGCAATAAATACGGGAGAGAAATTCAAATTACTAATACTTTCCAAAAAAACACGATCGCCAGAACTCAGAAGTAAATGCATTTTGTTTACAACTTCAGGTCTGAAATGGGCGTTGTGAAAACCCGTAATGCCGGAATATCACGGAATATGGCGGAATATCACGGAATATGCCGGAATATTGCGACATTTTCCCGGAATATACCGGAACATCACGATATTGGTAGCCATGGGCATGTACTAAAAGGCGAAACGTCGAAACGAAACGACCGAAACGAAACGGCCGAAAATGTAAATTACAGGAAAATTGAAAAATGCGGATACGGACGGACGGACGGGGGGGACAGGCGGATGGACGGGGGAGACAGGCGGATGGACGGGGGAAGAGGCGGATGGACGGGGGGGGGACGGCTTCATTTGAAACGAAACTCAATTTTAAAATCAAATCCGCGTTTTGTTGAAAGGGATATATTAGGATATATTATAAAAGACTATTATTAATCGTAATAAATTGTCCGCGAAAAGTTGATAAAATACATGTGGAAATGCGGGGGTTTTCAAACCTTCGTAACGCTTGATCGGATAAAACGCGGATATGCTGCAACTTTCATGCTTAATTTTCTCAGTCATCTGGGTATGTAGTAATCTAATTTTATGCAATGTAATGTGTTATATTTTCAAGGGCTTTTCAATGCAGTTATCGGTTTAAATATACCTAAAATTGCCGGTAAGAGATATGACAATTGCCGTACGGCCTACTTTTACGCAAACGAAAATTAGCTACAATTGCCACTTTCATGCTTAATTTTCTCTGCTATCCGGGCATGTATTAATGTAATTTTATGCCAATGTGATGTGCTGATGAAATTTGCAGTTGTAATTTGCGTTTGCGTAAAAGTAGTCCGTACGGCAATTGTCATATCTCTTAACGGGAATTTGAGTTATATTTAAACCGATAACTGCATTGAAAAGCCATTGAAAATATAACGCATTACATTGCATAAAATTAGATTACTACATACCCAGATAACAGAGAAAATTAAGCATGAAATTTTTGCAATTGTAGCTAAATTAAATTTTCGTTTGCGTAAAAGTAGGCCGTACGGCAATTGTCATATCTCTTAACGGGAATTTTAGGTATATTTAAACCGATAACTGCATTGAAAAGCCCTTGAAAATATAACACATTACATTGCATAAAATTAGATTACTACATACCCAGATGACTGAGAAAATTAAGCATGAAAGTTGCAGCATATCCGCGTTTTATCCGATCAAGCGTTACGAAGGTTTGAAAAACCCGCATTTCCACATGTATTTTATCAACTTTTCGCGGACAATTTATTACGATTAATAATAGTCTTTTATAATATATCCTAATATATCCCTTTCAACAAAACGCGGATTTGATTTTAAAATTGAGTTTCGTGTCAAATGAAGCCGTCCCGCCCGTCCATCCGCCTGTCCCCCGTCCATCCGCCTGTCCCCCCCGTCCATCCCCCTCTTCCCCCGTCCATCCACCTGTCCCCCCCGTCCGTCCGTATCCGCATTTTTCAATTTTCCTGTATTAAATTTACATTTTCGGCCGTTTCGTTTCGGTCGTTTCGTTTCGACGTTTCGCCTTTTAGTACATGCCCATGGCTACCATTGGAAAATATCGTGATGTTCCGGTATATTCCGGGAAAATGTCGCAATATTCCGGCATATTCCGTGATATTCCGCCATATTCCGTGATATTCCGCCATATTCCGTGATATTCCGGCATTCCGGGTTTTCACAACGCCCTTATAAATATTGAGAAAATCTTCGAAGTGCCGATATTATTTTGACGGTATATTCATTATACAGAGCTAGGAAGGAGCGAGACAGCGTTGT